TGTGGAGTAACTGAGCTGTAGATGTACACAGCACGTACACAGCTGGAGTTATTCTCAACATGGACAACATGAAGGTAAACCTTTACTTCATTAAATATATTAAAGTTATTTCAGGTCAAACATCAGGCAGGAGGCTCCGATAGATGTTCCATTAAATGGTTCTATTCAAACTCTGCAGTCATCTTCCAAAGAAAGATTTTCCAGAAGAGGAAAAGACATTCGATGACTAGTCTCTAACGGTCACTGTGACTAACCAGCTGCTAATTCACAATAACCTGCTCCTGCTTAAAGCTTGCCTTTTATTTTTACCTCCTCCTGACTGGACAGGAGCTGCAGGACAGTTTGTAGTTCCAGAAACACTTCTAAACCTGTCAGCTGGGTCGGAACATTAGAAAGTCTATTTTGGTTGCTGTAAACTGCTCCACAAAGGAAACTGTTGTTTAAACGTGTACACCCCAAACGCTGCATCCTTCGTCCTCTTTTATGTATAAAAGTCTCTGTTGGACGGCGTCTGGACTAAATATAGCCGTGATGAGGCTGACGCAGCCAAACTTAGCCTGTGTGGTCGTATTTTAGGCGAAGTGGAAACACTGAGTCGGACAGAAGAGGGACGCTGGAAGAGATGAACCATCACACAGCGCTGCGAGCAGACACAAAATAATGTTGTGCTATCGGCCCGAGTCGCTCGACACGACACCGACACTCAGAGGACGACGGTGTGGCAGCCAGAGGTGTCGCACAACGCTGTCAAGTCGCATCAGCAGCTCGATGTGGAGAGAACAGCCCCCCATCGGGAACAATAAGCGGCCCTAATAGGAGGTCCAAACACACCAACACCTCTGATCAGCCGTGGACAGCCCAGTTCCTCGCTGCATTTCCCTCTGCATTCACTGCACATTTCCTCTTTAAACAATCAGAGCAAAGATCGCTGGCTGCCAGGAACACAACTCCTGCAGACAGACGCACAAACAGCCACTTCTGGAGGAGACAAATAAACAGTTTAAGGGGTTCTACAGTCTAATCCAGCAGCCGCAAAACACACTCACTGTTCACAAACCGCAACAACAACGTCTGTGAGTTCACTTTATTTATCACCGACGTACATGCAGCTAAACTGTCTACCGTCACAGCCACACATGGTAAAAGGATTAAACACAAACAGGCTTCATTTACAGGTCTGGTTGGTTGGTTGGTTTCTACAGTTCATGCTTAAATCATTTCTTTCTTCTCACAGCTGACTGGATATAATCTGGAATTCAACAAACCAGGAAAATCTGTGAAATATTAGTTTTAATATCTGACATTTTTATTATCTGTACTTTCTCTTTTGAGCAAATATCTGTTAAAAAACACTAAATTTTCAGATATAAATACAGGAAAAACTGTAATTTTACAGTCACACATGACAAAAGACTGAGTTACCATCTTAAAACATGCTAAAGTCAGGAGTGCACGTTATCTACAGTCTGGTCCTGGTGTTCATTCACACGTCTCGTCATCCTGCTGTGATTTAACAAAAAGGACAAGCTGATAAATTATTGTAAACTACTGTTATGATTATAAATATCTAGTACAGCTAAGGTAGGTGCTTTTCAGCATGTAAACATCCTTAAACATCACAAATCCAGCACACACTCATTTCACCACAAGGCTGGAAATGTGTTGTAATAGAGGAGAGCTGCTGTATCGTCCTCTCTGTTTCTCTGTTTCTCTGTTTCTCTGTTTCTCTGTTTTCTGGTGCCCCAGCTGCCACATTATCAGGTGTGTGTTTTTTTACTTCTTCTTGTGTTTCCAGTGGACAGAACTCTGGTCTGTACGTGGATCTGAGCAGGAACCAGGCTGTGACCCAGTTCAGGTCCAAAAGCAGCATCTAGAACACATGCAGCCTCTGATGGGATGTGAAAACACACAGATCCCAGCATCAGCAGTCAGCCTGTGTCCGGTGCAGCCGTCATGTAATCCTCCACTCAGTCTGAACCCTCATATGGACCCAGAGCCGGGTCAGCACGAAGAAACGCCTCCTTTGTGCTGAGGGCTCCGGCTCGTCCAGCCTGCTGCACTTGACGCTCCTATAAACTGTCTCTTAAATGCTGCTGCTGCGAACCAACCAACAGGCTAACTGTCCACATCTACAGCCAACAACACCGAAAAGTTCTCACAAGCACCGGAGCCACCTGGCAGACGGACGGAGCCCGGCTAGCAGAGGCAGCGCTGCTCCACCGACAGCGAGCACACCTGTGAGCGGAATCCTAATCAGTTAGCTCGGTTAGCTCACGTTAGCTTAAGTTGCTGAAGCGCCTCCGGACAAGTTGCCAAAGTTTAGCGACAAAGCCGAGAGGACAGAGTGGGGACAGACACGCGGGGTCGGTCCAGACAGCCAGGTGTGTCTGTTCAGGTAAACACACCTGAGCTCGTCACGGTAATTAGCTGGCTTTAATGTTTGCTAAAGTTAGCCGGCTAGCTGTCCGATAATGGGCGCATGAGCAGTAAAGTTTTGAGCAAGCTCCCGGAGTCTCCGAGGAGTCGCTGAACGGGCGCTAGTCGCAGCTAGCCGGGCTGCCTCAGCTGCGCGACGCCGCGGGAGCAGCTGCCTCCGCCGGGCTAGCCGGGACAGCCGCCGGGGGCTCACTCACCGGAGAGTCGGTCCGATGCAGTTGGTGTCCGTGCTCTCTATTTCCCGCAGGATTCGCTCGTGTTCGGCGGCTGTCTCCACACTCGCCATCCTGCATGTTGGTGCGGGCGGAGCCGAGCGGAGCCGAGCGGACTGACCGGGCTCTGTGCGTCACACAGCAGGAACCGGAGGGTGGGCTCGATGCGTCCACGGAGCAGCCCGAGCGAGCGGAGTCTCCCCGCCTGTGGAGAGGGACAGCGGTGTGAGGAGGGCGGAGCTGTGCGGTGCTCATCCAGGGAGCCACAGGTGGATAAACCGATGAACACCAAAGCAGTCTGTGAATGAATCCGTTCAGTCCAGCTGATAGACAACAATTACCAGTAAATCCGTGTTTACCTGCTCCGTGTCCAGGTGTTTAAAACAGCTGACAAGCGTTAAGGGAAGTTCCACTCTAAAAAGTTCTTAATGCATCAAAATAACGAGGAACGACTTCACTTCTTTAAAACTACACACATGTTAAATATGTACACAGAAAGCAAGACGTTCACACATTAGATGTAATTACATTTTAGACAGCTAATACTTTATATCATACAACTAAATGTTAAAGGATTTCACCCATCGGAGCGGTATCCTTCCTCACTACTGATTTATTGCTCATTAATTTCGGGTTTGTGGGCCTAGGACAAACATTTTAACGTCATTATAACTTTCTAATTATTCATAATTAAATTTATGATGTAACAATAAGGTAAGATCGTCATTCAGCTGTGAGGATTAGCCGATGTAACACGGAACTCAAGCTAACTGGCTAGAGCTACAGCAAGCTAATAGCCCATAACGGTTTTAGCTTAAGTCAGCTAGTTAGCTCGTGTTACAGCAAGCTAATATAGCAAAACGTTATTAGCTTAAAGGAGTCAGCTAGGTAGCTAGGTAGCTAGAGCTACAGCAAGTTAATATAGCAAAACGTCATTAGCTCAACATAAAGTCAGCTCGTTAGCTAGGTAACTAATACTACAGCTAGCTTGCCTGATCATAAATTCCGCTAGGTAGCTCAGTAGCTAATGCTAATAATGCATAATGTTATAACAGAAGTCAGCTAGTTAGCTGGGTAGTGCTACAACAAGCTAATATAGCAGAGAGTTTTATATATTTTTATAGCAGGAAAATTGTCTGTGTAGATGAAAAAGAAAACATTTTATCTGAAAAACCATTTTCAGGGTTCAACATCTCCAGAAATAAAACTCCAACATCCACGAAATGTGGCGGCAGAACCGTCTCCATCCGGTCAGAACCACTGAATGGGTCCAGCAGTGTTGTTTTACAGAAGTAATAAAGGTACACAAGTTCATTTAAAAAAATCTTAGACAATTTGTTTTAAACATTTTTTTAACATTATTATTATCACTGTAGGTGAATCATTCACTTTTATATATTTTTTAATTGCTGCAGGTGATGTACTGTCAGAAACTGTCTTTATATTTTACCGGAAGTGAACTATAAATTCAGATTTGTTGTTGTTGTTATAACAACATAAACGGCCAACACATTTTCAGTTATTTTATGGATTTACTTTACATTTGTACTGGATGAAACGTCGTTTCATCCTTGAAGTTGTCCTGAGGGGCCACAGAGAGAACTTCAGAGGGCTTACTTTAGTTTGATTTCGTCCAGGTGAGACCAGAGAACCTGGGTGGACATCACTTTACAGGTAGTTTAACCAAACGAACCCTCTGCAGCCACACAAAGTCCAGTCTGAGTCGGTGAGTCCAGTCCACGTTCAGTCCAGTCCAGGTTATCACTTCACCAGGAGAGACTTCCTCTGCTTTACCTGTTAGCTTTTCAAAACAAAACCAACAGCTGACTTCAGTTCTTGTCTGCAGTGGTTTTGCTCCATCCATATACAATGATATTCTATTTTTGTTGTGTTTGATGGCTGTTATAAACGTGGAGGTTTAAGATCAGCCGTGATAGGATCTGAAGGCGTGATGCCATCCCTCAGACCCACCCACAGCTCCACGGGCTCTTTCTGAGCTGTACCGGCTGGACGTGAGTGCTGCCTGCCTCCACACACCAACAGTCACATCGCTCAGGCTCTGCTGTGTATTTAAAGCTGCAAACCCTGAATCAGTTCAGTTCAGAACCAAGACCAGGATTATACAGTCATGCAGAACTCAACCGTCTCTGGTGTTTGGAGCTGACAAGTCGGTTCACAGGACATTTGAGACTTTAATTTATTTTCTGAAAAGAGCTACAATATGGGGCCTTTAATATAACACCATCATATAGTATTTAACATCAGCTTTTACAACCTGCTGAAATAAGCTGCAACAAGCCCAACTCACCTGCTCTTATTTTGAAGGCTGATTCGCTTCACGCCGGAAGTTCCGTCTACATGCAGCTACCTTGACACTGTTAGCTCAACCTGCCGTCGGACGGAAACGGAGCAACAGTGACCATGCAGGTAACAGGTGAACTTTAAAAACGTTCCTGACGGGCACTGGGCAGGAAACCGGTCTGACTGGCAGCTCGTGTTGCCCTGAAGGATAACCGGGACTTTGGTTAGCTTTGGGCTGCTAATGCTGCACAGAGTCCACAGGTCAGAGTCCAGCAGAGATCCTGGACCTGAAGGAGGGCAGCTGGAAACCCTGAAACCACAGACAGACAGGGTTTCACAAAGCACGGGGCACTGGAGAGATTTGGCTGATTTGCCTCCAAAATAACAGAAAATATTGGAGTTGTGCAAAGCAGTGTGCGTCTCTTGGCCTGTTTGCATCCGATCATTGTAATAATAATGACACACAGGGCAGTCTGTGGTCAGAACACATCTCATCACAGGCGACTGTTTAAAATGAAACCACAGACTGATGTATTAAACAGTTTAATACTTTTTTTAATCGCCTGTTGATCCACTTTCAGCAGGTTTTTTCCCTCATGCTGCGTTTTTATGATATCAAGCTCAAATGTTGTGAATATCTTTCATAATATCCACAATTTATGCTGTAAAAAATCCAGAAATTGTTCTAGAAATGTGAAGTTTTTAGATGATGATGATGAAATGAATAGAAACTGGAGCAGCTTTAATTATTAGTGCCTCGTTTAAATAAAGGTCTCACTGTTGGTCATCAGCTGGAACACATTCACCGTCTTAAACTGTCCTGTTGATGCTCATCACACTTCATTGTGCAGCTTGTGTTGGTGTAGGAGTGTGTGTTTGTTTCCACTGACACACACAGACACACAACTATGAGTGATCCTGCCAGTGTGCTGTCAGGTTGCTGTGAGTCTGTCTGTGTGGTTCAGCCTCAGAGGAAGCTGATCAACTCGGTGGACGCCTGTGTGGATGAAGCCCTGTGGGGTCTGGTCCGGGCCTCGGGGGGCCTCAGCCTGCTGAGGGGTCACAGGGTCGTGGTCCGCTCAGACCTCCACAGCCTGCGGGGGAAGGTGGCCCTGGTGTCTGGAGGAGGCTCCGGACACGAGCCGGCACACGGAGGTACGACTCCACGCTGTAGACACACAACAGCAGCTTCAATCACACGACCCGTCATCCAGGGTCAGAGCGCCGCCACAGAACCAGGCTGAGCAGGACGTCCAGGTGATGTCCAGCAGAGTCTTCAGCAGCTCATCTGTCCTGGAAACGCCTCGGCATCTGACACACCTGACACATCTGACACACCTGACACATCTGACACACCTGACACACCTGACACATCTGAGGCATCTGACACATAGTCCTACTGGGCCAAAAGGTTCAGTCGGCTCTAAACAGGAACAAATAACAAAAACAAACAACTTTTGGGTGAAAGGTTTTGTGTCCAAGTACTTTTCAGGGTTGATGCTCCACAGTGGTTTCTAATGAAGGATCTATGGTCTAAAGGTTTATTCCACCCAAAACACTGCCTTCTGTCCAAGTGTTACTTTCAGTCTAAACATTTGTTTTAAAACCTAATTAGTTCTTTCTGACAAACCAGTTCTGGTTTTAAAGGTTTGTTCCACCCAGAATACTTCTGTCTGTACTTCCTGCCATGATCGTCGTCTGGTCCCAAAGCAAAGGGAACGAGAAGCAGCTGCAGCCTCCTCCTCAGATCATACCTACTGGAACATCCACTCCTCTGTCCCAGTCATGTATCCATGACTGACTCACAGTACTGCTGAGTGTTGATGAAGAACCCGTGGTCAGAACGTGGCTCCTTCACCACCACGCTGCGCCTTGATTCCTGCTGACACTGACTAACCCTGAGATGTTCCTCTGCTTGCGGTGGAGACTCTCCTCCGACCCAGAGCGGGGGAACCAGACATGCGTACCTGTTTCTCAGTCTTCTGTCTGTTGCTGTCTCCTCAGGCTACGTCGGTGCTGGGATGCTGTCAGCAGCAGTAGCAGGAGGAGTGTTTGCGTCGCCGCCTCCCGCCAGCGTCCTGGCTGCCATCCTGTCTGTGCACGCTGCAGGTGATGAGCACCTCCACACCTTCAGTCCCTAAAGCACAACCAAGTGACTGAAGCCTTCCTTCCTCAGGAGCCTCTGGGGTCCTCCTCATCGTCAAGAACTACACCGGAGACAGGCTCAACTTTGGACTGGCTGCAGAGCAGGCCCGTAACCACGGCGTCGCTGTCGACATGGTGATCGTTGCCGAGGACTGCGCCTTCGACCGACCCAGTAAAGCCGGGAGACGAGGCCTGTGTGGCACCGTCTTCATACACAAGGTACCGACAGTAGCTGTTATGAAGCCGAGCAAACTCCATCTAGAGGGCTGTGAGACGCTCAGTAAAGACGAGTGAGGGTCAGTCCGAGTCCGTTCTGACACAGTGCTGCTCCACTGTGTCTGGTTCAGTCCACGGGCCAGTTATCTGGAACCACATTAGGTTCTGGAAAAAGTACTTTGGGACAATTTTGAGAATTTCACATTTTTAGACCTCCAGGTTCCAGATTCCAAAATGTCTCATCGTTCTCCTACATGACCTGAAACGTGTTTAAAATGACTCAGAATTCTCCAGAATGACTCTAAATGACCAAAAATGTCCTAAATTCGTCCCTAAATGACCTACGTTTTAAAAAAAATTGGCAGAAAATGATCCAAAATGTGTCCAAAACTACTTAAAATTGTTTAAAATTACTAAAAAAAAAAAGGGAAACAGAACCAAACTAAGACTAAACGCTGGCGTGGACTCTTTGGTCTACCTGCTCACTAGACTTCACGCTTGTTGGACACATATTCTGATATTTCCTGAGACACTGAACCCAAACATGAGATGTGAAGATGAGGAGAGGGTTTCCTGTCTCATGACGTTTGGAGGCTCAGAAAAGCTCGAAGGTGGACTAAACTCTGGACCTTCCCTCAGCTGGCCGGCGCCCTGGCAGAGGAAGGCCGCCCACTGGACCAGATTGTCTCCACGGTGACGGAGGTGTTGAAGGGGATCGGTGAGTGTCTCTCTACCTCACTGACAGCAGGTGTGCTCACTGGTCTACTGTCTCATGTTCTGCTGGTTCTGCTGGTTCTGCTGGTTCTGTCTTCCAGGGACTCTGGGGGTCAGTCTGTCTCCCTGCAGCGTCCCAGGATGCCTGCCCTCATTCGACCTGCCGCCTGGAGACATGGAGCTGGGCCTTGGTGAGCACGGGTGGAGAATGGGTGGAGCACTGTGGAGGACAGGTGGAGGACAGGTGGAGGATGGGTGGAGGACAGGTGGAGGATGGGTGGAGGATGGGTGGAGGACAGGTGGAGGA